TAGCTCGCTTTATCCGCGGTACATAGGCTCCACTGTGCCCTGCAGCTCACTTTACAGCCCTCGCAGGCAGTCGAATAACGATCTGTGATATACAGTGTAATACGCTTTAACTGCCAAAGACAAGGGAGACTAGAATAGACATTTTTTGGCTTATTAGCTATCACCAGGCAGTTAATCCCAATCCCAGAGGGGGATCATCCAAGATTCCAATCTGCGACGTTTTGGTCATGGAGTGTAACGCTCTACCAATGAGCCATGGGCCCGCTGCGGTGAGGTAGGACTCAGCAACCACGTATGTCGCGTTGTGTCCTGCAGCTCACTTCAGAGGCAGTCACGTGGCGACTTGTGGGGTATAGAATGGTAAATTGGAACCGGCGAACATAAGGGAGACCGAAATAACCTATTAGACGTCGTCAGTATGTCTTATCTGAACCTTATTCTGCGAGCGTCCAAACGGTGAGAGTAGTTATCTAGCTTACAACTGCATTTATATCGAGTGCTGCGATCGTAGCCCCCACGAACTCGCCGAAATAGTGACCTTCCGAATGACCACGATAAGTCAAACAAATCTACACGTAATAATAATACTAATAATAATAAGCAAACGTTAGCGCAGGATCTGACTGGGATTTGGCACAGTGATAAACCAGGAAATTTGCATTCGCCTACGGTGACTGAGGTGCGTCACTCTCTTTAAAGCTGACCTCACAGTACAGCTCTTCCAAGGACACATAACCGTGCCCCTGAGCAGCAGCAACAAATCTGTCTTTGTCGCGTCAACTCGGTCATGTGTCTGAAGTCGTTAAGATACTTCCTGCAATCCTTCTAGTAGGAGCCTCAATGCACACTGGAACACGTACGTTCCCTAATCAGATAGACTGAATGATCAGGGCAAGCAGGAACGCAAACCGTACTACTCCCATAATGGAAAATAGGATACTTCCGAAACGTCAGCACCAATGCAGTGTGGCCCATGAAGCCATTCTGTTTTCTTCACCTCCGTTGGAGGGTGATGAACGGGAGAATCAGAAGTGTGTAGTCCGACAGTACCAATAAAGCAATGCAGTAAAAGATTAACATCAGGTGTCTAGGATTAAAAAAACTAAATTATATCTGCTAACTGATCCCATTTTCGGAAAGGTTAAGTCTGGTACTTACTCGAATGCATCAAGATGGTTTGGCTGGGTAAGCTTTGATAAAGCAGGTGCGTTGACTGCGCTTTGGCCTTCATCTACCACTTCAGTAAGGCCAACGGAGAGTAGGTCGTAGATCAAGCTGGCTTTCTGGCTATTGTAACCACTAACGACCGGTGTATAAGTGTCCTGAGCCAGAAGATCGCTTAGGATTTGTGGGACCTCAATGTCGGAACTCAAGGACTTAAGACAGCGTTCCATCAGTCCGAATAAACTGGCATTATCCACATAGGGTGATGACATCATTAAGTTGACCAAGTTATAGAGACTGGAGATGATTTCGC